AAGTGAAGATTGGCTTTATTCATAGGTGAATAATGGAATGTAATTCTTGTCACTTTGCAAACACTGGTAATTTACACCAAATTGGTGTGAATGAATGGTTCATCTAGTCTCAAATAGTACTTTTACAAGCCTTTCTGTCGAATCTCCGTTAAGCAGTTTGATAAATGAAAATCACACATGAACCAACTTTTATCTGCCAAAATGTGAGATGATAACAGAGTGTAGAAGAGTTGCTGCAGTAGTCTGTAGATTTTGTAGAAGTTGCTTCATGTGTCGATTTTCCTCAAAGAGCCATGCAAAAGTAATGTAGCTGAATGTTTTTGATTTTTTTATTCTGAGGATAAAGTCATCTTTATTTCAGTGTCTTGATATATTTGGTTAAAACTGTATCTGATGAAAATGTCCCCGTCAATGAAAAGCCTCTTATTTTCATCTGATAGTGCCCCCCCCCACACACTTGTTCACGCTTGACCATATTCGATGTACCACAGAGACAGACACACAGGCAGTGCTTAAAAACACTTGTAGCATGTTATGGCAAAGTAAATTGAACAATATGATTTGAAGCTAATTTATTTTTCCATGAGAAATCTTCATGTTTTTGCCTTTCAGCATCAATATTATGTATTTAAGAATGAACAAAGACTAAAATCCCAAATGACCTCAAGTAAGACATTGCTGTAATTGACATAATAAAAAAAAAAAAAAGGTTTTCAATTGGTGTAATGCTCTTTATTATTATTTTGTTTTGCTTATAGGATTCCCAACTATCCCCAGCTGGAGTGGAACTGCAAACAGATAGGACAGACATTTAAAGAGTGGAAATGGTCTCCTAACTTGTTCATAAACAGTTCCAGTAGCTCAGGATGAATAATGAGTTTTGTCTATGGACCAAGAAAAGACAAATCAATACATAAAAATAACATATTATTCACATTTATATTTGAAGATAAATAAAGTAATAAACATCCTGATTTTCTCCCTGCACTGTTACTGAGGCCTCAGCCAGGAGATTGTGATAATCTTCTTGGCAATTAGTAGAACATCTCTCAATAATATAAAATATTATAACTAAACATTATATGTCCAACATCTGAGCTCACTTCCTGATTCAGTAATGGGCACATTTATGTTATTCCTTTGAGCAAAGCCACACAAAATGTCTTGTTCATGCACATGCTATGTTTTTCAAAAAAGCTTAAATTGTCAGTATTGTTAGCAGGAGACTAGTTAAGGAACAACAACACTGCTGACAGGACACTGGCACTTCAGTGGCCAATCAGATTTTAATTGGGGTCACTTCTGACTCCTTGCAGACCGTTAAGTTTCTACTGCGAGACCTTTCTTTTTTTTAACATAATGGAACTCCCTGCCATTACAATCGTCATAAAGTTTTCCATATTACATTCGCTGATTGCTTTCTGTACTTAACACCGTGTCAGCGACCTGGCAGACGATGAAAAAGGAGAATGCAGTTTCCTTGTTAGATTGAGTTTAATAGAAGGTACAGTACTTGACATAAATCAAGTTATGAGTTGATGCTTTTACTCCGCAGGTCACGAAGCTGCTGCCGGGCAGCCATGGCCATCGTCAGCTCGCAAGTTGCTGCAAGATCTGTATCTATTTTGGGAGCAGAGCGCTTGACAGAGGTTGATTTGTGAGTCATACAGCACCATAACTTCTTACTCTGCTGTGTAGCTCCACAAGAAGGGAGCAAACTGCAAGAGTTGTTTATTTTTCAAAGATTCTTGATGTACAAATTGCTTAATAATATTTACATGTTCGAAAGGACAGTTTGTAAAGAATTCTTTGCTGAATTAATTAGTTTTGGAACAACTTAATCACGTAAAATATAAAGGTCTCTGTAGCTGCAGTCATATAAGCCTGGCCTTATACTCATTGGGTTTATTTACAGCCAACGTGTCTTATTGCTTTATACTTTTTTATTTTTATGACCACTACTGTGCATAAAGTCTCACTTATATATTACAGTCATAAATCACTGGGATTGATATCACAAAGGCAATGAGAAAAGTAACTTGTTCAGTATTGTGCACACGTAATTCACCGTGCTACACTTCAGTTATACTCTAGTGCTGTAACATTTATATAAAAGCAGCAAGCACAACATAAAACAAATTAATAATATAGAAACAAAGATTCACAAAACCAGACAACCCCCTCCCCCCAAATCTGTCAAACCACATATCTGTAAACATCCTGTTTACTACATGACCAAACAACATCAGTACATTATTATTATTGACAAAAATCAATTCAGAATCCTAATCTCAATTTCCAAAGCGGAAGCATTAGAAGTGAATGTTTAATTATTAATTTCATACTTTCCACAAACTCTCAGCTTCTGTAAACATCCCTCTTTTTCCATGATCTATTGTAATTAATGTTTTCAGTATCGATGATAAAAAGTCATGTTTGAGATGGAGAAATATTCAAACAAGCATTTTTAAATCTAAACCTTGTCCCTGCCAAAAATAATTAGGTTTATAATATAATTTTTATAACAGCGAAAAAAGTAAGTTAAAATTAACCTGGACAGACGAGCAATCATAGTGACACACTATCAATGTGTCACTATGAATATCTCCTCTGGCTCGTCTGCCAGTACCTGAGCCGTCACATGTCTGTGCATTAATAAGCGATCAGCCCCACTGGTGTAAAACATGCTTCAAGCTTCAGACTTAAACTGAAATAACTGATGTCTCATTGATTGGATCCTCCCATGACACATGTAGTCATCATGTTGATGGATGAGGTCATGAATTTAATTCAATCTGTGTGTTGTGTTTGATCCACAGGCTGGAGTTTTCGTCAGTGGGATGGGGGTGTGTGTGTTTATTTGTCCCAGTGCCACGACGGTACAGTTTATGGCTGCGTGTGTTTTATGGCTCATCAGCTTTGTGTGTGTGTGTGTGTGTGTGTGCGTGCGCATGGAGGGGTGGGCAGCACGACTGCTGCACTATACTCGTGCTGTCCGGGTGAAATATCACTGCACTCTCTCTTGATTGCCGTGTACGCTGCTTCAGCCCTATTCATAAAAATGCAATTCCATGCAGCTCTGTGGCCTGACTTGACAAAATAAACTACGACACACCAGAGAGACAGATTTAAGATGTTAGAGGGCACAGAGGCTACTTCAGGGAATACATGCTCAATAACCACACACACACAGGGTTTAATAAAATAATCCACAAAGAACACAGACTCAACTTTGGACTGTAATGTGCTAACAAAATCACATATGACAAAATATTTTTCTATCAACAATGATATTAGTGATGTAATAATGTTTTGAGGATCACAGGTTTACTTGTTTTATCACAGCAATTGTCCAAAACCCAAAGATACAAAGAGCTTGATTTTCTTTTTGGCCTTATTGATTTATCTATTCATCAATATAATTGTTTTCAGTGCAAACCATCGTTACACCTTTAAACAATTCTTATCTACATCAGTAGGTAAATTTGGTTGGCAGTCTGAGAAAGAGGCATTTGTTTGACAGACATCTTACAGACATGATAAAACATGACATCAAAAAATGAAAACCATAACCTAAAAACTGAAAAAACAAGAATGACTTTACTTTTCTTACAATAACAGATCTGGTTAAAAAATAAGGGATCTGGTTGTTTTGCTGGTGTTAAACTACGTCGTTATGTGCCCTCTCCTCTAGAGAAAGATGGCTGACAGTGACAGGAGACACAGTGGGGGGTCTCATACATGACAATAAGCAGCCTCCTGAAAAAAGCTCACTCTGCCCTGACTTCCTGTTCAAAGAGAATGACATTAAAGTGGATGGAGATGGAGAGGGGAGTTATTCTGCTGGGCATTAGTCTGTCAGGCATGAAAGTGAAGTCGCATCTCGAGTCTTCTCATCGTTTGTGAAATTCTGGTTCTCAGCCTGTCCGTAGCACTTTACAGATTCTTTTAGACGGGCTCGGATGCCACCACATGCTGCTCGTCGCTGCCTCTGACGGCTCCTTTGTAAACATACGCTTGTGTACAGTTTCTAACTTTGATGCTTTAAAGAGACGGGCATGGTTTTCATGTCTCGCTGTTCTCTGAGTAACCTGTAGAGCCACCTGCTGAAGTCGCAGCGTTTGTGGCCGCGCCTTCCACCCCAGCTCCCACTGTGGCCCATCGAGCATCCTGCTGCTTCCTTTCAAAACAGGAGGATGTGATGGGAGGATGTGAGCGCTGCGGTCAGGTCTCTGGCGTGCTCGCCTCGCATAGCATCCGTGTGAGAGATGGCTCTGTGACAATGGGCTTCCTGGCAAATATTGTTTCCCTCTATGCTGTGGAGGAAATCGGTTGGTTAAAGCAGGTTTTAGAGACTACACAGGGGTAAGAGTCGACCTGAGTGTGTCTTAAATGTGGTGGAGGTCTCTATGCCAACTGCTGCACAACAAGCAAAATGTATCTCAAGACACATTTGGAGCCCTGAGAGGCTGTTTTAAGAGCTTCATCACGCCACTGTTCATTTTTTTAACACAACACCGTCATGTACATTTTTGCTGCAGTGTGAGGAAGGTGTAAATCTAATTTTTGCACTAAACGCAGAGGCAGAGGAGGTTTACAGCTGTTTTCTTCAATTCCCTTCCAAGATGATGCCTCTGGAAAGCAGCAGCTCTCCACCAGCCCTAGTTTTCACGTTTTATACAATCCCTCCAAGATGAAGCACTTGAGTTTGCTTGAATCTGTTTCCCCAGCAGTGGCCCAGGCTTTAAGATGGATCGAGGGGGATTTGCATGGGGTGGGGAGAGACTAAGGGAGAGAGAGATAGAGAGAGATGTTACTGCTCAGGCACAGCAAATGAGAGCTGAGGAGAGGGGCGGAGGGAGAGGGAGGAGAGAAAAAGGGGGCATATTCACGCCGATCAGAAAACAACAGTCCTGCTCTGTGCCCACAGGACAGATGCTGCTGTCTACTTACCCTGAGAGTGAGGAGTGAGGGAGGGAGGGAGGGAGGATTGACTTTTACCTGCCAGAGACGCTGCACTCGCCCCTCGCCTCCCACCCTATTCTCTGCTCTCCAATTCAACCCAGCCTTTGCGGAGCCGCATGAGAGGACTGTCAGCCAGCACAGACGAAGCTCCGAGATCAGAAAGCTGGCACAGCAAATTGTGCCTCCAGCTCTGCTACTTGCTTTGCCGCCCCTCTATTACGCTCCCTCACACGTGCACATAAATGTGCTCTCACAGCTGCACACTGAGAGAACTTTCTATCTCGTGTGCACACTTGCAAGCTGACAAGCAAGCAAGCAGGCGGGCAGGCAGGCACACCCCCCTCCCATTATCTGTGCGGCGGGCAGATCTGCTCGTATTGGTGTAAGCAGCACGGGGCTGTGTTTTGCTCCTCAGCAGCAGCATCACTAACAGCAGCAGCAGGACGAGTCCAAAGGAGAGCAGTCATCACCAGAGATCACACACCAGCCTCCACAGCTGAGGGTAAGCTCTTCTCCCTCTTTTCCTCTTCTTACCTTTTTCCCCTCTCTTCTTCTTTTTCCCCATCTTGATGTGACGCAGTGTTTGGAACTGACCTTCCCTCATCTTCTCCCCCTCCCCTCTTTCTTTCTCCTCAGTGTGTGCCAGTGGGACAGCCATGGAGGACACCATCACCTGCAGCCACGCCACCTTCTCCCAGGTGTTCGGACGCCAGGGGCAGCTCATGCAAGCCAGTGAGTAGCCACAGTCACAGCCCTCCTGCCGTGAGGCACGGAGCGGGGGTGGAGGTTGGGGCTGTGGCTCAGCTGTTTCGGGGGGGGGGTGGCATTTTGGCAAAAGGGGAAGTTTTGTATATAAAGACAAATCAGAAACAGGCGGCTGTGTGGATTTGTTGTTATGATAACAGAGCAGTTACAGGGGAATATGTTGTGAATAATGTTTTTTTACTTTGCTTAGAATTTTTACTGTCAGGTGTTTTAGATTCTCTCTGAAATATATTCATAATGCAGGTGTACAGTATTAATGAGTTGAGTCTAACAGGGTGAGACACTATCAGTGATGCTCTCAGAGCTCGGACTGATGGCTAAATTATTGAAAACTGAATGAATCACAATTTCTCGCGGCTCAGAACCTTCGAACACAACCTTGGAGTGCTGCCTACTTCAGTGATATCTTAATATGTAATGCAGCAAGTCAGGGTACACACTTCTCCCAGGAATATGGGAGCGCAGATTGACTCGCCTCCAGAATGACAGTGTCAGCTGCATCCTCCCTCATCTGCCCTGGTTATCTCTGCTCTTGAAGTCGCGCTGCAAGAACTTAGTTGACGTCTTTTGATCCCTGCACTCTGCCATGAATGCAAAGTGATTCTTCATAAGGCGCCATGATAAATAATGAGGAGAGTCCAGGGCAGACATCCAAATAAAACATCTCTTCACAGCTTACACTTTGACTTTGGCACATCAGCTGTTGGCTTCATTACCACCTGGAGTGAGAAGTGTCTGAGTGGAGTTTCCACACAAGAGTCATTAGCAACAAATTGTGCTAAGACAGCTTGTTCTGTAGCTAATAATGAAATGCATGAGTTATGTTCCTGAGCTGGAAAATTCATGTTCCCCGATCATAGCCTGGATGCCTCTTTATTGCCCCCTGGTGACTGGCTCCAGCTTAAGTCATAAATCTCCTCCATGTTAGTGGATGGGACATGGACATAACAAAAAAGTCAAAATAGACGTTCTCAAAGATGGTTTTGTCAAATTGTTACATTTGTTTGATTGTCCCCAATCTATTTGCCACAGTTTCTGGCTCCAAATGACATCATCGGCACAAGATGGTACCTTAAGTATCCTGGTAATTTTGTCTACATTTCTGGATCTTGGGCAGCAGTGGAGACGCGTCATCCATCTTTCTTTACACTCCATGGTCCTTCACACATTCTTACTAACCTGGGTTGGAGGGTTTCATCTGTTTGGATTTATTTCACCTGCTTGAGTCACTTTGGTGCAGTGGGTCTGTGTTGTTGTCTCTGATGTTCATCGCCTACGGTGGCCAACAAGGACAAACCTGCTGTAATTGAATTCTCCAGGCCTCTAGGGGGATATTGCTTTTTGGTTTTGCATTTGCAGTGTTTATTTGTTTTGTTTCCTGGAGCACAGTTTTTCCTTTGCTTCATTGTTGCATTTGTTTTCCCCTTTAATATGTGTTTAGCTTTTCTTACTTGGCATCCTCTGTATCTGCAGCTCGTTTCTCCTCATGGAAATGTTTTGGGCCACTGCAGCGTGTTTTCCCTTGTCTTGCCATATGCGCTTCCTCTATGCACAAGAGCACCCTGTTATAAATAATGCACTTTGTGTGGATGTATCCGTGGGCTTAATACTCTGATTTATTAGTTTCAGACATGCAGGCAGAACACTTCAAATGTCTTTCCTAAATGAAAGGTTTTTGAGTTTTGCTGCTATGCTTTGTTTTTTTTCTGTTTTTCTGGGGTTTCTTTGGTGAGCAGAGAGGGCGACTATCTCTGGTTTTATGTGCACTAAAAAAACTCAATCTGAGTACTGAGATGTAAGTAGAACTTTTCACATGGACTGGTGTGTTGTGATTGCATTGACATGTTTCACTGTGTATGTGACTGGGTCAGTTCATCTGGAGGGTATCACAGCAGAAAGAAAAGGTAAAACAAGTTGAGGGTGCGGTGCTGCTGAAGAGTCATATCATGTTGCATCATGGCTTACAGCTGAGCCAGTCGAGCCTTCAAAATAAATCGTGAAGAATTAAAGAGATATAGACAGAATTTAGACTAATGAGGACCAGCTGTAAAATAATAGGGACGTATGTAATATACTGCTTGGTTCTCAACCGTTTTGGTCGATTGACCCTTAAAACAAAACATTGTTTTCTTGTGACCCATCATCACATGTTGCAAAGTGTGTTTACTGAATTGAGAGCAGGACAAGCAAAGTCATGTTCCTTTCCCAGGCATTGTACAGGCCTAAAGAGGAAAGTCTCCCCATTACTTCACAGTAGAAGAAGTGAAGATTAGAGAAAATAAGAATGAAACATAATTTGATTTGCAGAAACATGTTTTTAATCTTCTTATTTCATCTGTTGTTAATCATCTCACGATCCCCTCAGATTTATCTGGTGACCTCTGGGTTCGGTCCCACTGCTGTACAGTGTTTACGAATGTAGAGGCACATTTGAAACAGCTAAATTTAATATTAAAAAAATAAAATAAATGAATAATGCCGTATCTGTTTTCACCGAAAGTCTTTTGTGTGCAGTGTGCATACACTATCTCTCTCATGCAAATTCTGTTTGATGAACAGATTAGTTGTCAGAGTGTTTGCACAAGCAAAAGGCACAAATGTAACAGATATGCTAATCGCAGTTCCAGTTAGGCTGCCGCTGTGTTTTGATGTATTGAACTGAAATTGGGTTTTATGCAAAGTTACTGTGAATCATCTTTTGACAGGAATAAACAGGTTTTTGAGAAAATGAAACTAGGAGGAGAAGAATGGGAGCTGTTAGTAGATGGGTTCCAACATTTGGAGATAAAACCTCCTCCTTCCTATGTGCAGTGTGAATTGCACTATTGKACTGTAACAAGACTGTCCCTTTGTCCAAATAGCTTTTTTCATATGTGCAGTTTAGCTATGATCATAATTTTGCCCAAAAGCAAACGACAAGTGAACCTGCTGTTTCTCAGAACCCCATGTATTATTCACTACATCTTGACTTTCTCTGTGTTATCTCCTCATCGCTAGTGGATTTCTCTCCTTTATCTTACCTTTTAATTATACCAACAATTTGGCCTACTTTTCCACCTCAAACTGCTTGCGGCAACGGAAAGTTCAGGAGGGTGCACACCTACAAGAAAAAAATACTTGTTTTCACAGTTACTGCATTTTCACACATTCCTGCAAACTCAGGCTTTACTACTCCTTCAAAAGAAGGAGGGGGAGTGCCCTGACACTGCAGCCGTCTCAGTCACCTTTCAGCTCCAGTGGACAACTGATGTGAGGACAGACGCAGTGTGTAAGGTTGTCAGCAGCAGTGGAGTCCAGAGGAAGCTCTACAGAGGCCTGTGGTGTCTGAAAACCTTCCTTCTCCCTCTGGTGTCGTAGTGTCATTCTCGTGTCTGTACTCAGGGAGGTCAAGCCTCTGGCTTATTGCCAGTGTTCTCATCCCTATTAGACTCCCGGGCTGTCGGCCATCAGACCTAATAGTTTGATGTAATTCAGGAAGAGAGTGTCTCTTTTACGTGCTTTTTTAATTGAGTCATTTGCAGTGCAGGAGTATATGGAGACTAATCTCATAAGAGCAAACAGAACTTTTAGCTTGTCTCTTTGCAAATATTCAATCAGACACTTAAATATGCAAATAATGTCTATAGCCACTATTGGATTTGCCTAATGTGTCCCTCACCCCAGTTCATATTATCTTACTTACTTTATTGATCCTGGTCCCTGGGTTTCTCCAGCAGCCCTGAAAACCCCTTCAGTTACAGTCGATACAGGCCTCGTTTAGATCATGCTCCCTCCTCTAATCCCTATATTGGATTTAAGAACAGAGACTGGTGGCCATCGCATGTCTTTCTGTCAGTCAGTGCTCCCCAATCACAGTGACAGCTTCTGGCCAATCATAGCAGTTGCACGATGACCTCCACCAAGGAGGTTGTGCTTTTGCATCTGTTTGTTGATTGGTTGGTTTGTTTGTTTGTCAGCAGGATTATGCAAAAAATGGATTTCCACAAAACCTGGTGGAATAATGGAACATGGGTCAAAAAAAATTTCATATTTGAAATTGAAATTTTGAATCTGGATTTTTTTTCCCACTTTCCTTAGTGTTGCGTTTTACCAATTCCCAAGGGAATAATGCATTAATGATTTAAAACTAAAAATAGTGCACTGCAGTTGTATGTATCCACCAACCAGTGCAGTTTCAAGCTACGCTTCTTTGCAGACTCATGAGGTCACTGTGAGTTTTGACCTTTGATCACTGAAATCTAATCACTTAATCTTTGAGTCCAAATGACAACTGGTGAGTCAAAGCAGACTTGAGATATCATGTACAAGAGGCCAAAAACAGAGGCCACCCTGACCGTTGAGTTTACCATCCACATCTAATCAGTTAATCTGTGAGTCCAACTGAACGTCCCAACAAAAAGACATTTTCTCAAGGTGATCTTGAGATATCGTGTTCATAATAATTGGATAGACGTGGACGAGAGACACTCTGAAAATGTAAAGCCTTCGGCCACTGCCTGTTTCCTACACTGAGGCATAAAAGTCAGGCGCATTTAGGGAACTGATTTCTAGTGTGTGGGTTCTGTTGGAGGTATGAGCTCTCCTCAGCGGCATTTCTCTATAATTTGCTGTAAATATTTGGTTTCAGTTTTAGCTAAATAATTAATATCTACAAACTGTGCTCAGTCTTTGTTGTGTACGATGTTGTGTATTTAGTCGCATATGCTGCTTCAGTCTTCATGGCAGGGATGACATGTATCCTCATTAGCACACTTTCCCTCAGGTTGATCAATAAACCGATGGGAGTTCACTGACTGTATTAGTTCAGCGTTTGCTCTCAGCACCAACACGTCTGCACCTTGACATCCTCTCCTTGACTGACAGGAGTCTCCAGGCTGACTGGAAATAAAGTGTTTAGGATGAACAGCTTCATGAACTCCTGACCAGTCACTCACAGCACAAAGAGACAGATGCTAGAATAATATGAT